AGTCTCTGGCTGCTTGTGAAAGACCGGCCGGGTCTGAAGGGAGACCCAGTGAGACTCCACACAGGTCACCCTCAGAAGAACTGCCCCTGCCTCTAGGACACGGCCTGCCCATCAAGAGGCCACGTCCCCCCCAGCAGGGCACGGATCTGAGTCACTGCCCCGGCCTCCACTTGCAGCTGCTGACGCACAGCGATGGCTCAGGAACTGGGCATCTGCCCATCCCGCAGACTGGACTGCACCATGGCTCCTGGCTCTGACCCCTGCAGACCTCCGGGGACTGAACCAGCTGAGGGCCACGCCGTCTCAAGTAAAGTTAAACATTTTAAAAAAAAGAGTGGCTCCAAACAAGCAAGCATCATCTCAAGTCATCTCTATCATTTGCTAGGTCTTCAGCCAGCAGTCCCGATCTCCTGCCATCCTTCCCACGCCGGCCACACTGCAGGCCAACTGGGCGCCCGGCCGCGGCAGCAGGACTCAGACACGTCCGCTTCCTCGAATCTGCTTCCAGTCTCACCTCGCCACGCTGTCTTCTGGCCTCACACCGCCAGGCTCCTCCTCTGTGACGGTGCACATCTGACCCCTACTTCCTGCTTCCCAGGGGTGACTGTCCCCTACTCTGCACAGCACCAGGTCACGCAGACCCTAGGCCAGCAGCTGCCTCCCAGGGCCCCAGGGACTGTCTCGGGCTGTCTGGGTTCCTGGTGTCTGACAAGCACCAAGCGTGTAGTGAGCACTCACTTCTAAGTTAACAAGCAGAGATGTGGATTTTGAAAACTAATATCATATGTAAAATTTCTACTCTATGAAAAGACCTTACACACAAAAAAATTTAATATGGTAGACTAGGAAGGATGTAAATTTATATACCCATATTATCACTAACTCCTTTTTTTTTTTTTTAATTTTTATTTTTTTTTTTATTTTGATAGGCAGAGTGGACAGTGAAGAGAGAGACAGAGAGAGAAAGGTCTTCCCTTGCCATTGGTTCACCCTCCAATGGCCGCCGCTGCAGCCGGCGCACCGCGCTGATCCGATGGCAGGAGCCAGGATCCAGGTGCTTTTTCCTGGTCTCCCATGGGGTGCAGGGCCCAAGCACCTGGGCCATCCTCCACTGCACTCCCTGGCCATAGCAGAGAGCTGGCCTGGAAGAGGGGCAACCGGGACAGAATCCGGCGCCCCACCGGGACTAGAACCCGGTGTGCCGGCGCCGCAAGGTGGAGGATTAGCCTATTGAGCCACGGCGCCGGCTACTAACTCCTTTTTTTAAAAAAAGATTTATTTATTTGAAAGACAGAGATACAGAAAGAGATAGAGCAGAGCACGAGAGAGGTCTCCATCCACTAGTTCACTCCTCAATGACTGGGATGGTCAGAGCTGCACTGATCCAAAGCCGGAGCTTCTCCCAGGTCTCCCACGCAGGTGCAGGGCCCAAGCACTTGGGCATCTTCTACTGCTTTCCCAGGCCACAGCAGAGAGCTGGATCTGAAGTGGAGCAGCCGGGACTCCAACCAGCGTCTATATGGGATGCCAGCACTGCAGGCAGCAGCTTTACCCACTACACCACAGTGCCGGCCCCCAAGAAAACATCTTTCTAAGAGATCCAACCGTGTCACAGGTAATAATCATATTCAGAAATGTTATGGTGGCCACATCTGTCTGCTGAACCCATAATCAGGAAATACTGCAAGATCAAATATTTCAAATTGATTTTTTATTTGTTTAAAGATTTATTTGTCTGAAAGGCAGAATGACAGAGAGAGAGAGAGATTTTCCATCCACTGGTTCACCCCCTAAATGGCTGCAACAGCCAGGGCTGGGCCAGGCTGAAGCCAGGAACCAGGAACTCCATCCATGTCTCCCACATGGGTGGCAGGGGCCGAAATACTTGGGCCAGCTCCCGCTGCTTTCCCAGCTCATTAGCAGGGACCTGGATTGGAAGCGGAGCATCTAGGACTCGAACCAGTGCCCAATGGGACGTGAGCCTCACAGGCAGCAGCCTAACCTGCTATGCCAACAGTCCCGGAGCTACCGATTTTAAAAAGGCGAAGGTGTGGGGCCGGTGCTGTGCACAGTGGGCTAAGCTTCGCCTGCGGTGCCGGCGTCCCATGTGGGCGCCGGTTTGTGTCCTGGCTGCTCCTCTTCCCATCCAACTCTCTGCTAATGGCTTCGGGTTGGCTCAGCTCCAGCTGCTGCGACCATTTGGTGAGTGAACAAGCAGCTCAAAGAGCCTTCTCTGTCTCTCCCTCTCTCTGTAACTCCACCTCTTAAATAAATAAATAAATCTTGAGGCCGGCGCCGCGGCTCACTAGGCTAATCCTCCGCCTAGCGGCGCCAGCACCGGGTTCTAGTCCCGGTCGGGGCGCCGGATTCTGTCCCGGTTGCCCCTCTTCCAGGCCAGCCTTCTGCTGTGGCCAGGGAGTGCAGTGGAGGATGGCCCAGGTGCTTGGGCCCTGCACCCATGGGAGACCAGGAAAAGCACCTGGCTCCTGGCTCCTGCCATCGGATCAGCGCGTGCGCCGGCCGCAGCGCGCCGGCCGCGGCGGCCATTGGAGGGTTGAACCAACGGCAAAGGAAGACCTTTCTCTCTGTCTCTCTCTCTCACTGTCCACTCTGCCTGTCAAAAAAAAAAAAAAAAAAAAAAAAAAAAATTCCTCGTGAGATTTCTGATGTTGTGTTAAAATCCTTTGGAACAGACAGCCTTCTGTCCGCAGCCCGTTACCATCTCAGAGAGCCGATGCTCGGCACTGGAAACACCATCCCCTTTGGAAGAAGACACGGCTTTCACTGAGGGGCACCCGGAAGTCCACAGAGGAAGGCAGCCTGGGCTTTGGGGAATGGGGAAGAAAGCATCCGGAAATGATCAACAGTGAATTCCCACTGATCTGAGACGACACTTGCCACAGCATAACAATCATGACCAAAGAGAGGAAAAGACAAATTATGGAAGTAAGAATGGCCGGGAGCGGTCTTCCGCAACCACACAGCGAGCGGCTGACACAACCGTGTTCATCAGAGGTCCACCAGCCTCAACCAAGACTCGATCTGCTCGGCTCACCTCCTCCCTACCGCCCTGCGCAGCTGATACGGACCCACGCACAAAGCTGCTTCGGGGCCAGATCTCTGTGCCTGTGTTTAGCTCAGACCCGGCAGGTGGCGAGCAGTGAGCTGGGAACAGCCTTCAGGCTGCTCTACTGGCCACCGCAACCTGCGGCTGTATGAGAAATGACACAGCGACGGTGCCTGGGAGGGCAGTCATCGCCTCCACACACGAGGCACGTGGCCACCACAGCAGGAAACCTGACCGCGACTGGAGCTCCGAATCACAGAGCTGAGCAGAGGCCCCTTCCTTAGCCGGGAGAGCCCTTCCCCAGGCTCGACACCCAGGCCCCCTTACGCGACTCCCGCGGAGCCACCCGTCTCCTTTCCCTCTTCAAGAGTGACGTGCCTGCCGGGGACTGGAACGCAGGGGCTACCTGACCCCACGTCACTTACGAAAACGAGTGCCACTGTCCATTTCACTGTCTCTTCAGCCCTGTGCTAGCCTTGGGTTGCGTGCAACAGTATTCAAGGCTTCAACTTCCGTGTGGTCTCCTTGTGAACTCTAGACACGTCGTGTGCTCCCTAACCTTCATCTGTCCTGTGTCCTAAAAATACCCAGAAAACTCTGGAGCCAGGACCAAGTACAAACTGCAGATACCGATACTCCTGTGCTCCCTGGCCCAACTGCTAGCAGTCAATCAAGAACCCCGCGGAGTGACACACAGGCCTCACAGAGATGTGTGTGACAATCCCCTTATTAGTAGGCGTACAGGTCCTACCGCCTCACTTCAAAGACTCCAGCCTTTATGTTGGTGTTTATTACATAGCCTAGGTTGATAGTGCTAATACACGCGAATAAATGAGAAATAGTAAACCCTTACTAAAAAACTACTCACATACCACGAGTTACAACTGAAGTCTACGATGTCTGAATTTCAGGAAATATCTTCACTTCTGAAAATAAAAGGTGCTTCCATGACTGTAGATTTAGATTTTACCTTTTACTTGCCCCTAAAGAAGTACATTTTACACTACTAGGAAACGATGACAAATAAGGAAATTGTACCTACAAAATACTGACCCTCAACACAACACGCGCTGAATACCAGGTCTGCAGCAGGATCTTCAAATCCCATGGGACTTCACTTCGCTGGCAGGAAAGCAGAGCTGGAGCAGGAAGAACGCCCGATTTCCAGCCAGAAAGGAGAGACCGCAGAGGGAAGCACGCGCCCCACCCAGGCCGGGAGCCCGCGTGCCCAGGCGGGAGCCTCTCTATCCATGAGTTACTGGACTCCAGGCCGTTTTTGTGTTTGGAAAGGCAAAGCCAGCATCTGCCAACAAAACGTTGCTGCGGCCTTCAGCACTGGTACAACGGCTTTACAACAACAGAGTGCCACACAGCACCCCTGCTTCCACCAGCGGTCCTAGGAAACCAAGGTTCCCCAGGAGCCTGTGCAGGCGGTCACTCGGAGCCCACCCTCCACTTGGCCGACCTCCGCGTCCCTCGGCCAGGCCACACTTCTCATACCGCCTCTTTTACCTACTGGCTTGCCACACATGTTGTCAGTTACAAGCAGTTTAATATCATTCTTGAAGATAAAACACTGCACTTTAGACTAAGAAGTGTAACAGACTCAGCACTTAAGGAGCTAGTCACAACGTGTGATTTTCCTCAATAGTCAAATCCCAAGGAAAGCCTAGTGCACGGGAGCAGGCTGTCAGCCGTCCGTCCACAGCGCGCTCCGGCGCCCGAGCCAAGCACCGGGAAGCCCAGCGAGCAAAGGCAGTGACCGAGCCACTCACTGTGCTGGGCGACACCGTGCCTGACGTGCCGACGTGGTCACATCACCTCGTCACGGGCCAGTCACAGCCCGCACACCCCCACTGCGGGCACTCTGAGCACGAAGCCAGCACGCTCCTTGTGTGAGAGTGCGCCCGCCCGCCCGCCCGCCCGGCTCGCAGTACCTGCTCCTGCAGGTCGCGGTCGCAGCCGTCGCGCAGCAGCAGGCTGAGGACGTAGCGCGTGTAGACCATGGCGTCAATGCCGCACTTCTCCAGCTCCTGCCCAGCCAGGCCTGCACCGGGCCCAGCGCAGGGAGCAGAGACATCGCGGACGAAGTGCCGGGCAGGAGCGCGAGGAGCTTCCAGACGGCACACCTCGCACAACCGCACAGGTAGGCCTGCATGAATCTAGGTTGCAGACATCCTTAAGACACACAGCACTGTCTGCGGCTGTCACTCGTCGCTGTCTGGAGGGGATCTTCACTCCAGTGAGCAGGAGGGACGCCTGGCGTCGAGGAGAGCGCCGGTTGCTGCTGCGGTCAGCCGCCTAGAAACACAGTCTCCTTCTTCAGGCATGACCCACGAGTCCCGAAGGCAACATACGTGTAGATGGAATTCTCTACTTTCATTTCACATTGAGGCCGAATCTAAGTTTCCAGCAGAACCTGTAAAAATGAAAGAAAAAGTATGCATTATACACACATATACATTAAAGTATAGATCTTCCAACCCAAAAAAAAAATCAAATGAACTGTTCCTCTTTGTTAAAATGTCCTTAGGGGGCGAACACTGTGGCGTGGCCGGTACAGCCGCCACCTGCAGAGCCAGCATCCCATATGGCCCGGTTTGATCCCCGGCTGCTCCACTTCCAATCCAGCTCTCTGCTATGGCCTGGGAAAGCGGTGGAAGATGGCCCAGGTCCTCAGGCCCCTGCACCCACGTGGGAGACCCAGAAGAAGCTCCTGGCTCCTGACTTTGGATCAGCACAGCTCTAGCCATTGGGACCAACTGGGCAGTGAACCAGCAGATGGAAGACCTCTCTCTCTGCCGCTCCTTCTCTGTGTACATTTTTTTTTTTAGAGAATTATTTATGGGGCCGTTTCTGTCTCCGTGGCGCAATAGGTTAAGCCTCCACCTGTGGCACCCGGCATCCCATATGGTGCTGGTTCGAGTCCCAGCTGCTCCACTTCCCTCCAGCTCTCTGCTATGCCTGGAAAGCAGTGGGAGGATGGCCCAAGTCCTTGGGCCCCTGCACCCACATGGGAGACCCGGAAGAAGCTCCTGGCTCCTGGCTTTGGATTGGCACAACTTTGGTTGTTGTGGGCATTTTGGGGAGTGAACCAATGGAAAGACCTTTCTCTCTGTCTCTCCCTCTCTCTGTCTGTAACTCTACCTCTCAAATAAATAAAAAATCTTTAAAAAAATTATTTATTGAAAGTCAGAATTACACAGAAAGAGAAAGAGAGGCAGAGGCAGAGACAGAGAGAGAGGTCTTCCATCGCTGGTTCACACCCCAATTGGCTGCAATGGCTGGAGCTGCGCCGATACAAAGCCAGGAGCCAGGAGCTTCTTCTGGGTCCCCTTCGCAGGTGGCAGGGCCCCAGGACTTGGGCCATCTTCTAAAAGGCCACAGCAGAGAGCTGGATCAGAAGTGGAGCTGCCAGGACTCAAACCAGTGCCCATATGGGATGCTGGCTCTGCAGGCGGCAGCTTTACCCGCTACGCCACAGTGCCAGCCCCATAACTCTTTCAAATAAATTAATATTTAAATTAAAAAAAAATAAAATGTCTTTGGTAACAGAACACTGGTACTCCTTCCCCGGCCCCCAGTAATCTTCTGACATTTCAAACTAATCTCAGGATCAGTTTAACAAAAACAATTAGAAGCTGGTGTTCTGATTGTACTCAGATATGCAGACATTCCACTGTCTCAGGAGACTGGCAGGTTAACGTGGTTACCTGCAGGGCTGAAGGGCCGGCCTACTCGCAAATCAGCGGTTCACATCCAAGCACAACAGAAGTCAGCAGCTGAACACTGACTTCACTGAAACACTGCATGGAAAGCAATTATCTTGTACGGCCACAAACTTCAGGACTGGTCATCACTTACTTCATAGAGATTAAGGTGAAATAAAAATTGGTCTTCTAGCCATGCCAGCCCTTCCTGTTAAACCTACTGTATAATGTTTTTATTATTATTCCCTCCCTAAATTAACATACTTTGAATACAAACATATCTAACAATAGGCTTACTAGATCACAATGTTCTGTGTCAGTTTTAATTAGTTCCTATCATTAGGAAATGGCAGCTAGCGAATGGAAGGTCAGTCTCCTCAGCTCAGTTTAAGCACGGATTTTAGCAGACAACAGAGCACTACCTAAAAAACTTCCAAATAAAACTAAAAATTACTGTTAGTAAAAGCATCAAGGCAGAAAGAAAACGACCCTTCCCAGATGGAAGACTGATATTCTTGCATTTAATCTGTAAAAATGTAGTGATTTCACATACACTAAATGTAAAGAGAACTTTAAATCCACTGTAGGAGGTTACTGGATTAACGTGTCACTCATGTCTATGTGGCTACTTTAAAACAGCCTCGTTACTATGTATCTCTCTGCGGGCCAGCGGTCAGGTGCAGCCTGTTACAGTTGCTTGCTAGGCTGCTGGCATCCTGACTGGAGGGCAGAGTCCACTCCCGGCTGGCTGTTTCCCATCCAGCTTCCTGACCGTGAGCCTGGGAAGGCAGCAGACATGTCCCAAGGACTGGGTCCCTGCCCCCACACAAGAGACCCAGACAGAGTTCCAGGCTCCTGGCTCTGGCCTGGCCCAGTCCTGGCCACGGCAGCCACCTGGGAATGAACCAGCAGATACAAGGCCTCGCTCTGTCACTGCCATTCAAATAAAACTAGAAGAATTGTCCACTCGTGTTCCAGTTCCTCCACTCCCAATCCAGCTCCCTGGTCATGACCTGGGAAGAGCAGCGGAAGATGGCCAAAGTACTTGGGTCCCTGCACCCATGTGGGAAAAGCAGATGAAGCGCCTTGTTCCTGGCTTCAACCGTTAAGGGGAGTGAACCAGGGGATGGAAGATACCTCTTTCTCCTTCCCTCCCTCCCTCCTTCCCTCTTCCATAACTCCTTCAAATAAATAAACCTTAAAAAAATAAATAAATAAAAAGAAAAGAGAGGCAGAGGAAGGAGAGACAGAGATCTTCCACCCACTGCTTCACCCCAAGTGGCTACAGTGGCAGAGGCGGGGCCAGGCCAAAGCCCGGAGCCCAGAACTCCATCTGGAGCTCCCATGCGTGCAGCAGGGACCCAAGCATTTGGGCCATCTGCTGCTGCCTCCCAGGTACATCTGCAGGGAGCTGGATCAGAAGCAGAGCAGCAGGGACTTGAACTGTCACTTTGATATGGGGTGCCGGCATTAACCTGCTGCGCCACAGCGCCAGCCCCAGCACCTCAAATTTTCAGGAAAAATCCCAACAGAGAGCCACACAGACAGAAAATCAGATTTACAAAGGCGGTCCTCAAGTACCTGGCCGGGTATCAATGTCTGAAGTGAGGAGCTGGGCACAGGAAGGGCCATCACAGAGGCCAGAAGCAGCCTGTAGGACGGCGACAGTCTCCACGGCCACACCCCAGAGCCTCACACAAGGGGCACCAGGTGAGTACGCAAGGGCACTGTCTTAGCACCAGGGAATACCCCACTTTGGTCCTAACAAATCTTAAGAGAGAACAGGAGGGTAAACTTCTGCTGTGACACCAGATTCCCACGCAGGAGCACCAGTTCAAGTCCCAGCTGCTCCACTTCAGATCCAGCTGCCTGCAGTGCGCCTGGGAGCGCACGGAGGCCGGCCCAAGTATGGGCACCTGGATGGAGCAAAACCTCCGCAGTGCTAACAGAAAAAAACTACAGTGTTATCCCCACTAAAACTAGCTCTCAAAATGAAGGTGAAAACACACTCTCGGACGATAAAAATGCAAGGATTTCGCACCTGCAAACCTGCCCAAGGATGTGGAAGAAGGAAAACAAGCCCAGAACAAAGCACAGATCTAACCTGGCTCTCACGATGACAAAGGAAAGACGGACACCGGCGGGCAAGAGGACCACGTGCGGCCTGCGAGCAGAATGAGCTACACGGGTTCATCACTCCACACATGGCGGAAGCAGGCACAGGGACATCCCCAAGCAAGCCTGCTCCCACGCTGTCCGTGACGTGCCATTCCCAGCAAGGTCATCGGAAATCAGTCTGGGAAAGCCGGAATGGCCCAAACACCAGCCCAACTCAGAGCTCCGGGTGTTACCCCGTGACATGTGAGGAGCAGCAGGAAAACGATTCTCTGGGAAATCCTTAAAAACAATGTAATACTTTATCCATTTTAGTTTTTTTTTTTTTTGTTCTAGTACTATTGGTTGAACTCTGTCATTAACACACAATTATTCTTAGGTGTTTAAATTTTAACTGAAAAGTGATCCCTGTTAAATATAAGAGTGGGAATAAGAGAGGGAGGAGATGTACAATTTGGGACATGCTCAATTAGACTTGCCCCAAATGGTGGAGTTAGAAACGTGCCAGGGGATTCCAATACAATCCCATCAAGGTGGCATGTACCAAGGCCATCTCACTAGTCCAAGTGATCAATTTCAGGTCACAATTGATCACACTGATAGGTCTAAGAGTCAAAGGGATCACACAAACAACACTAGTGTCTGCTAATACTAACTGACAGAATCAAAAAGGGAGAGAATGATCCAACATGGGAAGTGGGATACACAGCAGACTCATAGAATGGCAGATGTCCTAAATAGCACTCTGGCTCAGAATCAGCCCTTAAGGCATTCAGATCCGGCTGAAGAGCCCATGAGAGTATTTTAGGCATGGAAAGCCAAGACTCTTGGGGGGGGGGGGGGGGACGACCTAAATGAAAGATCTCTGTGAGTGAGATCCCAGTGGAAAGAACAGGGCCATCAAAGAAGGAGGTACCTTTCTCTGAAGGGAGAACTTCCACTTTGACTATGACCCTGTCGGAATAAGATCGAACTCGGCTAACTCAAAAGGCTTCCACAGCCTTGGCAACTCAAGACTAGAGCCCAGGGAGATTACTGAAGCCATAAACAACAGTGTCAAATTGTTAAGTCAACAACAGGAGTCACTGTGTACTGACTTCTCATGTGGATCTCTTTCCTTAATGTGTTGTCCAATGTGAAGTAATGCTATAACTAGTACTGAAACAGTATTTTACACTTTGTGTTTCTGTGTGGGTGCAAACTGATGAAATCTTTACTTAATATATACTAAATCGATCTTCTGTATATAAAGATAATTAAAAATGAATCTTGATGTGAATGGAATGGGAGAGGGAGAGGGAGATGGGAGGGGTGCGAGTGGGAGGGAAATTATGGGGGGGGAGCCATTGTAATCCATAAACTGTACTTTGGAAATTTATATTTACTAAATAAAAATAATCCCCTCCAAAAAAAAAAAAAAAAAAAAGAGCACTGGCAAAGATTACTACGTTTGTCTCATTATTTAATTATCTTTGAGAGATTACTGAAGGGCCTGCGATGTGGCATAGCCTGTAAAGCCGCCGCCTACAGTGCGGGCATCCCATATGGGTGCTGGTTTGTGTCCTGGTTGCTCCACTTCTGATCCAGCTCTCTG